CCAAATAAGCAAGCCTGTATGTGCAGTGGCTTAATAGCCTGTCTGTAGTATTGATCAGAGAGGCTGGAAGATTTTTTCCATTTGCATGCTTGGAGAATGAGGCTGTGGATTTCGGATGGCACGATAATTCCAAGTATAAGGGTAAAATATGCGCTAAATCCCTCCATCTCCTGCGGTAAACATTCCTCCGAAAATTTTGGACAAAGCTGACTAAAAGTTTTTTTTTTTTTTTTTTAAATTATAATAATGGATCGATTAAGGTTCGTCAAACGAGCTCGAATTGTGGCATCGTCCCACAGCCGACGAATTATCAAGAATGCGGTGCATTATCGAACGGGTGTATGCTGTAATTGCCGGGAACATCAGAGATTCGTTCCTGGAAAATGCGGACATTGAAGTGTATGCCAAAAACTATGCAAAACTGGACAAAAAACACATCCGACAGATATCATCTATAATTGGTACTTTCTTTTTATTGATATGGTGGACATGAGGCAATAACAAGTAGGGCTGATCTAGTGTTGATCATCAAGGATTTGCTTCGATTAGCGGGATTCTGCGATTCGTTCATTCGTTTCGATGGTAAATTGGTACTGGTGTATGTTTGGGAATCGAAATTGCCATGGGCCTGGCACTTCAGTAACTCTTTAAGGGGAAAGATTTCGATGGTGTTATTAGCGGATTGTAGCTTTTGACGTATGCTAGCATTCTGGCTGTTTCTGAGTCCGCCTTTCAATAGAGAGTGGATTCACTGGAGTTTTGGCTTAAGAGCTCCCTGGCAGGTTTTCGTTTTCCTCTGAATATTTTGTTGTCTTCTGTGAGGCTCATTCCATCTTAATTGTTCTTTTTTTTCACGTTTTTCAACACTTTATGAGTAGCATTCAAAAGCTCACGATGTCCAACACCGATCTGTTATCCGTGCTATAGGGTGATAGATGGTTTATGGAGTTATAACAGTTTAGCTGGTACTTTAGCTGGATTAGCCGGCCATTTACTTCAGAAATTACGATTCAGCCTATCAAGGGCGGCAGAAATTGTTTATCAGTTTAATCCATTCTGGCCGCCCCATTTGAACCGTCCACTTATGATTCGGCCTTTTAATGACCATTACTTATCATTTCAGTTGCTAGCAGGGGTTTTTTTTTCCCGGCGGTGAAGGCATGATTTTTTCACGTAGAGAAAATGTCCTAGGTTCTGCTGGTAGCTGGCTAGTGATTGCATTTATAGTAATGTGCTAAATATCAAAAAAAAGTAAAGGATTAATGCACTAATTTACGATAATCTTTTGAAGGAAAGGCCATAGCTTAAGACTTCTGTTCTTAGGATCGTCGGCGAAGCAAATCATAGAATTAACAAGAACGAGCTCCTCAGGTAATCTAGTGTAAGCATGCGAGAATTTCGCGTCGGATAATTTGAAAAATTATTTTGGAAATTCGTATATTTTACTTTTACAGAACATCTTGCAACTGCCGGTTTGCTGAATAACGACAAACGCTGGTGTCTGGTTGATTTTGGTGCTGGCCGAGCAGAGTTATCCTACTGGTTAGCGAAACTAGCTCCGAGTTGTCGTTTTTTACTTATCGAACGTATGGGTTCCAGGAATAAATTCGACAACAGAGCTCAAAAAGTATGTCTTATCTCCACTACTTCTTCAGCTACTCCAATTCAGTAACATCGGGGATTCCACACCAGTAGTTTTAGTCCGTTACGGGGCAGG